AGAAAACAAAGATAACTTAGAGAAAATGAAAAATGCATGCTGGGCTGCATGGTGGCACTTTCGAAGTACAGATCAAAACCCACATCATTGTCTTTGCAATCCTGACCGTTGTGGCATGTACAAAGATCCAAAATTCACACATGAAGGTATAGAGTTTTCTCTAATACACTTTATTTCTATACGTCGTCTTCCGATCAAAGGTGTTGAGGACTCGGTCGAATGAGCTTCTTTTCTCTCCGATCAAACACAGATGCTGCTTCGACTTCAGAATCTTTTGAAGTGCGAGCACAATTCATGGTGGTCTCATGAAACAACAGCGAATTTGAAACGTCTTCCAGTACGTGGAATTACGCATATTTGTAACTGTTGTAGAGCGATGTTTCTTATGTGAAGCGTACGAAATACCGTCATTACATATAATAAATGTTCGCCCGACAGGTGATACATGCACGGTAGAGACTTCCTGCAAAGTCCTGATTGGAGATATAATAGTTACTGTGTGCCAGAAAGTCGGTTTGAATTCGTCGCCTGAGCATTACTATCTTATATTTGACGGACACGAACTGAACGTCAATAACACGATCCGAGAATCGGGTATAATCAATGTCACAGAGAATTCTAATCATAATTACCCAGAACTACGATTAAAATTTTTATATCAACTTGAAGAATCCGCTCATATTGCCGCACACGTTGTGCTTACCTCACCTGAAGAACTCGTTTACCGTGAAGTTTTTGAGATACTCGATTCACCAACAAAACAAGACATTATGTCTGATTTTTTAAAGCCATTGATTGAACAAATCTGTAAACATAAATCGCAATCTTCAGCATTCTCGTCAAAATTAATTTCAATGCCCGTCTTTACAAAACAAGTTCTTGATGAATTGCCATCTGTACATATAAGTGTACCACTAAAACCAAATGAATTTGATTGGAATGAATTTTTGCAATACCTGGCCATCGATCTCGGAATTGACAAAAATGACATGTTTTTAATGAGTGCACAAGAAGGAAGCACGAAATATGAAATCAAGTTCAAGGCTACAATCTCAATGTCTCCGCAAAAAATGAAGAAAATTTCTGAGAAAATTAGTCTGATCGTTTTTACCAACTAGCAAAAGTACTGAGTTTATCGCTCCACAAAAGTTATCCGATGATATTAAAGAAATTCTGAAAATTGAAGCAAAATTGTCCAATTTTTCTGAAAATCAAAGTTCACTCTCGTCCGAAAATTTGACGGACGATGATATCGATACAGCTCTTGAACTTATGCAACGACCAGCAATTATTGATCCACAAGTTTGGAAATATCTCAGAGAAAAGCGTCGTAAGATTAGCGGTGCCATTCTTCATGCTTTTCAAAGATCACTAGTCGAATATGTTATTGAGAGTATGTTACTTGTTCAAAATGAAGAGCTTTATGACAAATATATTAAATGTGCAGTTCATGGTGAAGAAATGGTACTTTTCCATGGAACGAAGAGTGCTAATATGATGGTATATTTGATATGAATTTTAAAAATCTACATACGACCGACTCAGGTTGGTATGGTCAAGGAATATATTTCAGTAGTTCACCTGAATATTGTGCTACCTATGCGCCGGATGTGATCCGTTTTAACAACATTTACGCTTTTTTTCATGAATATAAACTTGATGTTCACTTCTATCACCTGTAATATGCATCTTCTTGAAAAGCAACTATAAGAACTTTTCCTATCGTCTATATGTTTTTACTGTTTTCTCTTCTTGTCATGCATCAGAAACTTTTGCTTTTGATTCTTTCTTTCTTCTCTCAACTTTCCGACGTATTTTTCTTCGCATCGTCTATGGGATTATCTGAGTTCATGAGAAAGTCCGCGTCGCTCCGACTTTCCGTTTAACCAATGAAACTGCTTCTCTCAATTTACTATTAACTTGATGAGTATCGCTGTGTGACTCACTATCACATCCAGCCCACCGCCTCCTCCCCCTGACTGACCGACTGACTGTCTGCCTGTATGGCTTGACAATCTGTATGAGTGGCTATCTATTTGAATGAGTGACTGACTGACTGTCTGACTGACTGTATAGTATGACAATCTGTATGATTGACTATCTATTTACATTTTGCTATTTTTTCAAAAAAAAGATGACTTTTCAACATTTTGAGTTGTTTGACTTTCTGTGCTTTTGATTCTTGAAATTCATCTTTTTTTTGAAAAAATAGCAAAATGTAAATTTCTCTCTTTTAACCGGATGTGATCCGTTTTAACAACATTTACGCTTTTTTTCCATGAATATAAACTTGATGTTCACTTCTATCACCTGTAAAAAATTGACTTTATAAGTTGAAAAGAAGTGGAGAAATACGAATTAACTTTTGTTAAGCGACTTGTGGGATACCCTGTATATCCTTTTTTCTGAATTTTCGAGCGTGGAAAATGATCAGATTTGCTTAGATGAATGAGCCCTGCGATGGATGGATAACCTTTAGGGCGTTTTCCATAGAAAAAAATTCTAAGTTCTGCTCTATCTATCGGCAAAAGAACCGACTGATTTCGATTAATGGGCATGGAGATATTCAAGATTCTTATCGTAGCGTTTTTATTGGAAACCCTGTAAAGAAATTTTGAACTGGTTTGTAATTCATTACCGGGATTAAGTCGACACATAGATTGATATTACATAGTACTTATATGTGGTCATACGAAACTCTCCGTAAGGTAATAACAGGTTGGTGGACTTAATATACAATCTCTCAAAAAAGTATTTAGACACTTATTTGTCCTTTGGGCTTCTTGAAGTGTGTTGTAAGATCGATGAATAAATTTTTCTCTTTTCATCAATGAATGGCTTCTACTTTGTAACCTGCTATCTATAAGAATAAACAACTGATAGCTTGATCTCGAATTTTGTGGATTTGCTCAAGATAGGAGCCTATTGTATAAATAGAACAAAATGAGGTTTCTACTGTTATGTGCATCGGATGCCCTCATTTAGCGCGCAAATACCATGCACTGATGTGGAAAAGACACAGAACAACCGACTTTCTCTATCCACAATGAAAACAGAAGTTTATTTTCAAAAAGAATGGCAACCAGTTTTTCAACTTTTATTAATAGCTTTCAGCGCGAAAGAAAACTCCGTTCGTTTCCTACAGACAAAAAAAGAGAAAAAAATCTCGTTTGAAGACTTGCAAGGTTGTCAGGGGTTGATCTCCTTTTGTTATGCAATTATTGAGAAAATAGTCAAAGGCACAGACTATTCCGATGTAATGGATATGGTAGACGTCGAACAGTTCGGATAGTAAATATCTTTGAGGTCAAAAGCTGGTTGAGAGAACATCGCGTTTGACCATTTTCCTGAACGAGAGAACAGTCGAAGCAAAGATTGGTTGCTACACCTTTTAACGGGTCGAAATGCATAAAGAAAAAACAAACCAATAAAGAAATTTCCTTTTTTTTCATATTAGACAACAAATCAAGAAACCTCCTACAAATCATAAAGTTCGCCACTATTCTCTTTCTCGTAGAGAAGAGTCCAGCAGCCATAAACTGTTTGCTTGCTTGTGCCCGCAACTCACTGTTTGATCGCCTGACCACGAGTAGAGACGGTGAATCGTTTTCCTAGTTAAGCTTGACCAAAGGGTGATCGAGAGTGGAGAGTTCGAATCTGAACTTAGTTTTACGATATTTAATTGATTTATTATCAGTTATTTTTTGATATTACTGGTTTTTGGGAAAGTTTGAGCATAGGATAATTGAGGGCGGAGAGTTCGAATGTGAAGTCAGTTTGACAATATTTGATGGGGTGAAATCAGTTATTGATCAGTTAAAACTTGTTATTTTTTACTAGCTCGTGTATTCGCACTTCACTGATTGGTCGAAAAAACAACGACCCAGAGTGATATTTTGACGTCAAAAACATTCATCCAGAGTGACTTCGGGAGTTCAAAAAACAGCCTTTCAGGGGGTGAGGGTGAAATACAGTTGAAGACTCACGCACTCACATCCACAACCTCTTCTCCCTGTAAAATTTCGAATATCACGAACAATATACTTGGTTAGTCACTCGGTAATACAAAGTCTACGAGAAAGAGCTGAGCCAGTCCTCAGGCGAGCGTTACTTGTTCTGTTTGAATTCTAATTCGTTGTCGAACATATCTATATATATAAAGAAGAAAGTTTGTTTGTTTGTGTGTTTGTTCTTCATGCATTTTCTTAGCATCGCTACAAATGCAACCAAATTTACCAGGAAGCATCCTTGCAGCCGGGAGCAGGTCAACGACTACTTTTCAGCTGAAAAAGTTTCATCAAAAGTCCAAAAAGGGTCGGACTATGCATCTGACCAGTCAAAATACAGCATTCCAAATTATTGTAGGCCTAATGAGCGGGAGGTTCTGATTGTGACTAAGTCTAAGACGTGTAATCAAGGGTTTTCGAGGATGATGAGCTTGAATCCGCCGTCTGTTTGCCTCGAAGTTAGGTTGTTTTGTTCCCGCGAATATGAAGGATGGGGTCATATGAAAAATAGTTTGTATGTGTGTGTTTGCCTCAAGTTCAGAAACATCGAGATCTAAATTTTCTCAGAAAGCGTTTTTTCAGGGTTTTCCGACGCGAAGAAGTTGAATCCGAGGTGGATTCCGGTCCAACTGAGTGGGAAGAGGGGTTAGAGCGGGCTGCATGACTCGCCGGGGTCAAAGGAACATCGAAAGCGGAATTTCGCCAAAAAGCCTTTCTAAGGGTTTTCCGGTGCGGAGAAGTCGAATTTGAGGTGGATTTGATTCGACAGGGTGAGGGGGAGAACGCGGGCAATGGCTCCTCGGGATCAAAAGAACATCGTAATCTGAACTTCAGCAAAAAGCGTTTCTAAGGATTTTCCAGTGTAGAGAAGTCGAAACCGATGTGGATTCGATCCATCAGGATAAGGAGCGAGTGAGAGGGGGTGTAAATGACTCACCGCGATCGAAGAAACATCGAAATCTGATTTTCCGGAAATGACATTTATAGGGGTATGAGGTGGGACTTCACTCACGAGGGAACAGTTCCAAGTGTGAGTCTCAGTTTTAAATGGGATATGTACCAGTTTGTAGAGCTCGACGAGCTGATTCTTCTGGTATTATCCGTTTTTGCCCATAGACCTCAAATGAGAAAAATCAATCGATTTGTCGATCGTGAGCCAAAAACCAGTGATATTTTCAAGGTTTTAATTTTTTCTTCAAACCGTCCCAATTTGTAGAGGATACCTTGAAGTATATGTTCTGAAGTTTTCTCAGCTTGCTTACATTATTTAACTGAGAAAAAAATTAATTACCTAAAAAAATGCTGTTAAATTTTTTAGCACGGGGCTATTATTATAAAATTTCTTGTCTAGTCTCCATTCATCATGAAAACTTAGTTCTTACCTAGATCGATGGAGACATGTGTGGAGAATATTTTCGACGAGAAAATATGTAAAAAGTTTTGTTCTTTTCTTCCGGTTATTGACTAATTAGTACTAATTAACGTTAATTTAGCCTACTCTACTAGCTTAAAGTCCCATTTGTAAAATAACGACTCAACAATAAAATTTCAAGCAATATCTCGTCTGATAGAGAATTTCACGGGCTACAAGATAGGCCACCTTTAAGTCTGCTTTTATTCCATTAAAAATCTCAGCATAGTCTTTGTTTCCAAAAAACATAGTAAATTACTGAATTCCTGAATTAATGAAGTACGTAATACATAATGAAGTTTTATTTCTGACTC